TTACTCCATTTTTCTCTGACTTTATCTTTCCTATTTTCTCTCTATCTATCTCTTTCTCTCATATTGATAATTTATTTTTTTGAAATATGCAAAAATTTGATTTAATATTTTCTCTTATTTTCTGTCACCGTTACTCTTTCTCTTCTTATTCTCTCTATCCTTAGATCAACGTTACACGGTTACACCAATTAATTAACCAATCATGTGTTTTAATAAACTAAATAATCACACAAAATTACAACATCAACCAAATTTATCATTCAATTGTTTACATAAATCAAAAAATTATACCATTTAGTATCACGATATAATTATACTAATTATATCCACCAAATTGGGTTTATCATTACACAAAAGACTTTATCATTATACCAAATTTGATGTATATGATTTGTATAATTATGTGGTGATACTAAATATTACAACTCTTTAGTTTTTGTAAATAACTGAATAATAAATTGAGTTGGTGTTATAATTTTGTATAATTGTTTGGTATAACTGTTTGGTCTATTAGAACACATGAGTAACTGTTTTGTGTATTATAGGATAACTAGTTATTGTCTGTGCCTGAAGGAACGGAGTAATAAAAAATAATAAACAATAAACATATATGTATTCATATTCAAGATCAAATTACAAACACAGAGGAGAGTAGGGGTGTTCACCCTACTCTACGAGTAGGAAATATACTCTTCCGTCTTCTTACCCGATATTTTGCGGAAGAGTTTTTTCTTGGTCTACCCTACCTGACAGGTGTGGTATTCCTACCCGATTAATCGGGTAGAAAATCGGGTAAATATTTTTGTAACAATTAATTTTTGGATCATTTTAATAATTTAATTAAATAACATGCACCAATTTAACAACACAATAAATTAGTTAACACTAAAATCTAAAACAACTACATCAAGAATTACAATAAAACACAAGAAAGTATGAACATCAATCCATCATAATTGTTACACAAATACAATAACAATTAATTTAAGTTTAAACTTTAAATCATATGAAATACATTAAAATCATAATTGCTCCGCCTGTAGTTAGGGTTTAGGATTTTTTAGTTTATATATATATATATATATTATTGCGGGTAGGGTAGGGTAGGAATGCGAAAATAGATGGCTATTTCGCATTTCTACCCGAAAATTATCGGAAGATCAAAAACTCTTCCGCATTCCTATCCGATTTTTGCGGCTAGCCGTTCGGTATGGTAGGAACTTGCGACCGGTCAAAAATTTGAACACCCCTAAAGGAGAGATAAATGAATTTAAACATCGGTTGTAGTGAGAGTGAGAGGTGATGGGGCGGTAGTAGTGTTGGTAGGAGACGGTGATGGTTGTGGTGTGTGGCAATAACCGTGATGGCGGTAGTGGTGGTGGCGACGGCGACGGTGATGGTGGTGGTAGTGATGGAGGCGGTGGTGGTGGCGATAGCAGCAGCGGCGGTGTCAGTGATGGTAGAGGTAGTGGTAGGACGGTTGAAACACTATTTTTTTTTAAAGTACTTATGAGAAATAATTCCTACAAGTACTTTTAACAAGTAACTCCAAACACACTCTCAGGGCCTATTTCCCCTATTAAATTTAGGGTGTTAATATTAGCCGTTAGATTAATTTTAAAATAAAATTTTAATAAATCTTAACTGCGAAAAATAAAAATCATTTTGTTTGTCTTTTGAAATTTGAATTGTAAGTTATTTTATTATATAAATTATAACTGATTGATGTGACTGATTAGTGTAATTGTGTTATTATAATGTTGATATAAAAAGAGAAAAAGAAAAATAGAGAAAGAGTAATAGTGAGAAAAAATAGGGGGAGAGAGTGAGTGAGAAAGAGAGAGAGAAAAAATATGGAATATTTAAAAAAAATAAATTATCAATGGGAGATAGAGAGAGAGGGAAAGTAACTGAGAGAGAAATAGAGATAGAGAAAAAATAAGGAAGAGATAGTGAAAGAGTAATGGAGAGAGGGAGAAGGAGAAGGAGAAGGAGAATGAGAAAGAGAGGGAGAGGGAGAGGGAGAGGGAGAGAGAGAAAATAGGGGGAGAGCGAGAGAGATGAAGATAATAAAATTTATGCATAATTTATGGAAGTGTAACTAAGTAAAAAAATTCAAATGTCATTTAATTTGCTTTCAAATAAATTTTAAAAAATAAACCCACACCTAAAAAACACATTTTAATATGACATGAATATGAACGGGAGTCTGTACAGGCTAGAAAGTGTGGGCTAAGAGGCCCCACCATGAGTCCATCACAAAATCAGATGAAGAGTTGAGTAGCTGGACGCTTTGAAGAGGGCCATTCTAATGAACCCAATTGCAGTCACAACTCAGACCAAATAGTGGGGATCCATATTCAGTCAAATGTCTTAAGGAACAAATTGCAACGTTCACCCAATAGCTTGTTAAAGCTTAATGGGCTTCAAAGCTTGAAGAAGTTTAATGGGCTATAGCCCATTTGAATGGACGCTCTCCTGACAGATTCAGCAAAATAAAGTGCAGTATGAAACCATCTAACTCTTTTTGAATTGTGAGAATCTATTCGTCTCCGTATCTATAATATAAAACAGACAAATTTTAATAAGTTCATTCGACAATATCAAATAGACTTATTCAATGGTTACCAACCTCTTTTTCAAAGTCATTCATATTACATTGTGCCTTCAGGTACGAGTTATTCCTAATAAATAAATAAAATTATTATGTATTGAAGTATAACTATTTAAATTACATAGTTTAAAATATTGGAGTAGATATTTATTTAACACGGTATCAAAGCATGAGGTCCTGTATTTGAAATCTCGCCGCCACTCTAATTACAAAAAAAATTCGCGTGTTACGTCCAAAATATAATCTAACCGTTAGAGAGCATGTTGAAATATAAATACTTAATTACACCGGGTATCAATCATTCACCATTATACAACTACCATCCCTGCAACTTACAATGGTATCCCCCTATCAATGGTCACTACTACGAGCCAGTGGTCCAATAAATTCACGGAAGTACCTAGGTTAACACCTAGTCCAAAATCAATTTTTCTAACATGAAGATAAAATTATCTATCACTTTCTCTTTTTTAAACCCCGCTTTAGAAAGGATTTTTGTTCACCCGCTACAACTTTTTTCATTTAGATAGACCATAATCTGTGGGTCTGCCCCTATTTTTTTTTTCCTTTAATTGTTGTGGATAAGCACATGGTTATGTTCCAATGTTGATGCCGTCTCACATGGTAGGTCACACAGTCCTTTAGCCCTCAAAATCTTCTATGATCTGCTGTTATTTTGCTGTCACTCTACATCAAAGTAGATGTGGAGAATATAAAATTTATTGTTAATCATTATTCAAATGTTATTCTCCATTAATAACTTATTATTTTTTTTACATATTATGGTCAGGGGCCAAGAAGTTTCCAATAGTAAAAGATTACTTATTGTCTGGATATTGACAGATGTAGACGGCTGCGTGCTGCGCCATACAAGAAGCTTGAAGACAATGAATATTTTGGAAAGATGATGTGGACATTTTTGGAGTAGTTGATGAGAAAATAGATATTGCAGCATTGTTGAGTATTGGGTCTACATTATTTTTAATACACGCTCTTTCAATTTTTCTTAGATCACCTGGTGTATAAAGATAGATAATTCACTTGTATATAATACGTCTTACATAAATATAAAAACACACGAATTTTTTTATGGTGATGTAGTCAAAAGATTGAAAATAACTCCTACGGTTTGTGACTTAAAAGTTATTGGATCCCACGTTATATTTTTTTATGATTATTGATGTGAGGGTCTATCTAACAAGCAATAAAAAAGCAACCGACACTAATTTCTTCTGTTTAGCCAACATTATTGGGCATGCCTGTGCTATATTTGTATTTTTTTTATGATTATTGAGGTGAGGGTCTAGTAACAAACAATAAAAAAAAGCAACCGATGCTAATTTCTTCTGTGAAACCAACATGACTGGGCATGCCCTTTGCTAGATTTTGCACCTCAAAGGTGCAACAATGCAATCAATCGGGGCCAATGCCATGTTATAATGTACCAAAGCGTGATTCATGTTTTATTTTCTCTCTCTCTCTCTCTAACCTGGTGAGTCTTGATCCCCAGTCATGTCCACCCCGGCGAGTCTCGATCCGTTGGTCGTGCCTGGGCTCAATAGCGGATTAACTACTCTTACAAACCTACTTTGCTCCTCTTTGGTAAATAACTTAAGATAACTAAATTCTGCAGTATAACAGCCTATGCATCAATTCTGCTCCTTTTATTTGTACCTAGAACGATCATGAAAAACTCCAAGGGGGTAGTTTAAATAGTAATACGAAAGAACTGTAAATTCAAACCTCGTGACATACATCATTTCTAACATCACCATGACAATACATTTAAAATGCCAATCAGGTAATACACAAAAATCTATGCTCCAACTTGGCCATTAACGAAAAACCAGAGAGAGTGTCTGATAATTTATTTCTATATACAATATAAAGATTACATGTTACAAACCAGTGATCATATTTATACCCTTCACAACAGACGTTGACCTTTCACCATCAAAGCTTAAATCACTCGAGACTCCTTGAGACTGACTTTTACACTTGAAAAGGAGGAAATTAAAAAGCAAAGGAAAAATAATGAACACATTCTCAAATATCAAACACAATATAACTTACTAACCCCTAAAACAGATCCAACAACATACCTTCACATCACAATTTCTGGCTTCAAAATGTTAGATTTGATCTCTTTGTGCGGCAGAACCACACCCCCGTTGCTGTAAATTTCATCACAAACGTGAACATCCTCTCCAAGGATAGTCATGTTTTCTACACGAGCCCACTGCCCAACGGTGGGTGCCAGCCACGCGATGATACTACTTGAGATGCATGCATGTTTTTTGATGCGGACTCCACGCATTACCGTGCAGCGAGAGAGTCTAACCCCTGACTCAACCACACAACCAGGGCCGATAGCAATCAGGCCCAATCAAGCATCCGTCACAATTTTAGCACTCTCATCCACCAGAACATTTACAATATGAGGTCCAGAAGCTAATTTGGAAGAAAATTTCTTTCTCAAGGAGTCTAGGTATAGTCTCAAGCCAGAGATGTAATCTCTTGGCTGCCCAATGTCCATCCAAAAACCAGGTAGGACCATCCCATACAGTTTTTTTGCTGCTGCAATTTTTGGGAAGACCTCTTTCTCGATTGAGGTAGGCCTTAGCTCAATTCGATCAAGAACAGATGGGTTCAGAGGTAAATCCCAGCATTGATCTTGTTACCACAAACAATTTTGGTTTTTCAACAAACCTCTCTACTTGTCCTGTTGATTCTTCCATAACGACGACACCATATTTTGAAGGCTCATCTACCTATATATATCAATCAAAATCATTATCTATCAACTAACTTTATTGAAAAGTTCCCACAGGTCTAAGATGATGTCGCAGAACAGTAGAACAAAGAAATTATTTGGATCCAGTTTACCTGGGTTACCATTATGGAAGCCTCCC